TCCTAGCAATGCGCATATTACCTTTATGTTTGTCAATCTGGAAAAAAATAGATTTGTTTTTTATTTTCTAAATAGTAATGAGAGCTCGGGTGGCCTAGTGGTAAGGAGCTGTGCTGCTAATCCAAAGGCACACGGTTCAGATCCACCAGCTGCTACATGCAAGAAAGATGTGCAGTCACCTCCGATGTGATTTACTGCCTCTTATTAGTAATTTCTGACTTAACAGTACAGAACAATAATAATAAAAAAACAACCCAGTAATAGGATTTTAGCTTAAAAGAATAGTCATTGCAAATACAGTTCACACTTCGTTTTATTTCCTCCAGAAGAATAAAATTTCTAAGAGAATAAATATGTTTATGAAAGTGTTCAGAAGACTAAGTGTATTATTTTCTTAGCAGGTTTTAATCCATTTTAGAGTAATTTGTGTCATTTTCAAAATTAGTTTCTTTATTGCAGTTCGACTACTCTGCTCCATCTTCCCATCATTCCTTATCTGAACTGCTGTTCGAGGTTATTGTTAATGGGAAGAAGCACTTTCTATTCCTTCTGTTTTCTAAATGCTAATGTCATCCTGTCGCTCTGTGGCATATTTTTCCTCTGATTTTCTTCAGGTGATGTCAGTGTTTTCAGCAGGCCTCCCAGAGCCCTCTCCAGCTGGATAGGATACTCTTTTTCTACACATCGTTTTCTGGCTCCTTAAGTGTACCATCAGGTCATGTTGCCTCTCCTGCCTCCTAGTTTCTATTGCATCTCCACAATCCCCTTTTTAATAACCATCCTTCCTTGCATTTATTCGTTTATTTTCTGTTCTCTCCATTCCACCTGGGGAGACTTGCTCACTGCCATTTCCCACACTTTCCAAGTTCCTGGCCAACGATCTGTGTTCTAGAAACATGTGTAGACTCGGGGAGTGTGTTTGCATTTAGAGCACAATTTTGGAAGCAAGCATTGTTAAGGATCTAGCCTTAAAGACTTAAAACCTCATTCTTAAGATTTTGATACCTTTTATTCTGCAGAGTTTTTTCTGCCATGTTTCTTTCCATTCTGAAGACCATGGCAGAGACATTATCTTAACCCTGCTTTGAAAGTAGCAGAAACATGGCAGGACCCCACACATAGCTGTCCCAAAGTTGATCCTTATAGGCAGGCTTCTGTTTGAATCTGATTCATGCTGTTTCATAAGATGCTTTGATGCTTTTCTTTAAAAAAAAAAATCCCAGACACACACACACACACACACACACCCCACCCCCAAACCAGTGAATATTAGGTATGTGTTATTTTTAATTACTGTCACTGATGTATGTAATTTGAAAATTAATGTTGCTGTAATTATATTGATATACTGAATAGTTATCCTCAGCTTTTTAGTCAGACAAATTAAGCCTGTCTTTATGAATTCATCTTCAAAGCCTTAAAGTGTTAAGGAATCAAGAGTATGCAGAATTAAAGCCTTTGTTCTGGGGTTAATTTAGCATGAGCCAGCAAATGTAATTGATTTTAATAAATGTGGCATCAAGATTCAATTTCTCTTGAAGGAGAACTTTTGGTCTCTGTTTTTTTCCTGCTGGAGGTTTCTAATTTTATAACAGGTATCTTAGTTAAGTCACATTCATAACTGAAATAAATATGATTTGTTTGGATATGTTGACAACCAGTTAAATACTGTAAGTAGCATACATTGTCCTTTGGGGCCATAGATACCCTGATTTTGAAAGAAGTAAATGTGCCGTCGATTTACTGTTGTATTCTCTACACCCAGTGTAACTTTTTACTATAAATATTTGTTAGGTGCCATCCCATTGATGCCAACTCAGAACAACCCTGTGGACAAAATAATAAAATATAATAAGTCTGTTATTATTTATTTTGCAATGTTGTCTAACAGTTACACAGCAAATATTGTATTGTTGATTTTGAAGGGTAAAGTCGGTTTAGATCACAATGATCCCATATACAACAGACTGAAAACCACTGCCATACTCACTATCTTTGCTATGTTCGAGTCCATTACTGTAGCCACAGTATTGGTCCATCTCAATGGGGAGTCTTGCTTTCCCCCCAACTAACCTTTTTCTTTCCCTTGTCTTGCTTTGAATCTCTGATTGTCAACAAAGTCTGGTAGGAATCTAGAATGATGGGCATTACCTGATTTGAGAGGACAAAAGTGGTTCCAGAGACAAAATTCTCACCACTGAGCCAATTGGCAGCACCGTAATAGATGGAGAAGAGACTGAGCTTGTTAACAGTTTCCGCTTGCTTGGCTCCACAATCAATAAATACTCTTGGCACCGGCATTCAGGAAATCAAAAGATGCACTGGGAAAGTATGCTGTCCTAGACAGCTCCAAAGTGCTAAAGAGCAATGATGTCAGTCTAAAGACTAAGGTGCACCTAATCCAGACTATGGTCTTCACAATTAATACTTGCTATGTATCATAGAACTGGAAAATTACTAAAGATGATAAAAAAAGATAAATTCCCTTGAGTTAGGCTGGAGAAGAGTATAAAACATAGACTGCCAAGAGGACAAACCCTCTCTTGGAGAGGGTGAAACCAAGTTTTCTCCTTGGAGACAAGAATTTTGAAGCTGTGCCTCACATAGTTTGGGCATTTGGCCAGGAGGGACTGGTTCTTGGAGAAGGAAATCATACTTGGAAGGGTGAAGAGACAGTGAAGAAGACCTTGGATGAGATGAATTGACACCGTAACTGGGGTATTGGGGGATAGGTGTGTCGGAATCAGTGAGACAGGCTCAGAATAGGGCAGGGATCAGACCTATTGTACGAAGGGTTGTTATGAGTTGCAGGCAACTCGATGGTGCATAGTAACAACCACCACCACCACCTTCTTCTTTGCCAAGCACTAGTGCTTTCTCTAGGAACAACACTCTCCTAATGAACTTTCTTTCTTCTGGAGCTGGTAAAAAGTAGGTGAAATGACTGGCTATTCTTTTGCTAAGACAGTTTGTTCTTCTGGTAGTCCATGGTATATTGAAAATTCTTTACCACAATGGGCAGTATCCTCCCATGCAATTTATAATCTCTGTAAAACCACTGATGGGTCAGCTATGAGCTGGTTCTGATTTGATTGCAAATAACTAAAAAACCACCATAAAGCACATCTATCAATTCTTATTCATTGTCTAACTTTTGTGTACATATTATGTTTGTAGTATTGTCTTGGCTCCAGTCAAATTCACTTCAGTCTTCAAAGTGACATCTTGCTCTTTTGAAAGAGATCTTTTGCAGCAGATTATCTTCATGTTCTTTGATTTCTTGATTATTGCTTCTATAATGGTTGATTGTATATCCAAATAAAAGGAATCACTGAAAATTCCAATGTGTCATCTTTTTATCATGTTATTTATTGGTCCAGATAAGGAATTTTGTTTTTGGAAGTATGACATATTGCTCTTCAATCTTCATTATTAAGTGCTTCAAGTCTTCTGCACTTTCAGCAAGCACCGTTATATCATTGAGACATTGTGTTTTCAATGAGAAAGGATTGAAGCTCTAAATGATTTACTCTTACTTGGATCTACAGTCAGCTCCTTGTCAGCAGTCAGTAGATCAGGAGATGCATTGCGTTGGGCAAGTCCATTGTCAGGGACCTCTCCGAAGTACTGAAGTGCAATGGTGTCAGTTTGAGGACTGAGATACACCTGATTTAGGCCAGGGTCTTTTCATTAACCTGGTATGTATCTGAGAACTGGACAGTGAAAAAGGATGGTAGATGATGAATTGATACTTTTGACTTGCGGTGTTGGAGAAGAGTACTAAATATCCTATAGGCTGCCAACAGAACAAATAGGTATATCTTGGAGAAAGTACAGCCAGAGTGCTCTCTGGAGGCAATGTTGGCAAAACTTCATCTGTAGTACATTGGGCATATTATGAGAAAAAACTATTCCTTGGAAAATAACATAATGCTTGGAAAGGTGGAGAGTCAGCTAAGGAGAGGAAGACCCCCAGCAAGATGGATTGACATGGTGACTACAGCAATCTGCTCAAGTATAGCAGAGATGCTGAGGACGGCACAAGATAGGATTCAGGTCTGTTGGTTGTCATAGGGTTGCTATGAATCATACTTGATGGCACCTGACAACAACAACAACTGAGTAAAGGAATAAATGAGTATATTACAATAGTAACAGTGGTTTCCACAGCCTTGCAATGTTCTGGATTATCTTTCTCTCATTGCCTTTTATACACCAAGGCAGGTTATCTGCTGCTTGCTAAATGCATGTGTTCTAGAAGGTTGTATATTCAGCTGCCTTTCTTCTCCTGATTCGTCCCTTTTCAGAATTCATTAGGGGTTGGAATCATGTTTTGTTGGTTTTCGTGTGTATTCCTCTCACTCTCAGCAGACCTAGGCCAGCATACGTTTTTCACATTAGGAAATTAGTAGCCCATATCAACTGTCTGTATTTGCCAGATACCTCTCGTGCTCCTGTTGCCCCTGCTGGAGTTGTCCTTTCTTATTATTTCTACAGGCTGAATCCTTCTTAGCTGGCTGTTGTATACCACCGAGTCGGAACCGACCCATAGCTGCCCCTATGGGTTTTCACAGGCAGTTAATCAAACAGGAGGAGATTGCCTGTCTTTCTCCTATGGAACAGCCGATACACTCAAACCTCATGCCTTTGGGATAGCTGTGCCGCTTCTTGCCACTAGGACATCAGAGCTTCCTGCCCTAGCTGGCCAGTACCCTGACACTTAAAGTGTAGGGACCTCTGGTGGCCTAGTGAGTAAGGAATTGTGCTTTCAATCCAAAGGCAGGCAGTTTGAATCCACCAGCTGCTCCATGGGATAGATTGGCAGTCTGTTCCCATGCAATTTATAACATCTGAAAACCTGCCAGAGAGTTAAGTGACAGCAGTGAGTTCAATTGAGAGACGTTGCCTACAGCTAATGTTATCCATGTCACCTGGGAATTGTTTGCTGCAAGTTAAGAACTTTGGAAAATAGTTGATTATGTTTTTATTTCTGAACACAGGTCCTTGCAACTGGGCTCAGTGGTCTCTACTCTTCCTTGCCTACAAAGCTAGAAGAAAAAGGCGACGAATGGCACTGTCTTCTTAAAGATGACTGGCTCCTTCTCCCCTCTCTTGTCCAGTTCATGAACTCCCTGGAGTTTTGTAATGCGGTTATACAGGTACCAAGTACTATAAAATAGCTCTTGATTATAGTGCCATCTTGAATGTGATAATTGCAAATTATCAGTTATGAACATTCATATTTTACATTTTAAATATATTTTAAGCAGTAGTCATATTTTAAGCATATTGAATGCCTTTGGATGAGTGAAAATGTTTATCATTTTCTGGAAGGTTTTTTTTTTAAGTTTTGAGGAAAAAAGTTATTTTCTTTATCTTCTGCATAAAAAAGTGTTAATTCTGTTTTGATTCTTCACATAACCATCAAAAATAAATTCAATTCCTGACTCTTTAAATAGATATTTTTAGCTTTTTAAGTACTTCAGATTATAACACTTTTATTTCAAGGTCTTATTGGTAGTCTGCAAAGGAAAACACTTTATTTTGCTTAATGGTGCATACTACATAAAGAATATTGTTAACCCAATTGAATTTAGAAGAAGTTAAGCATCTTCTTAGCAACACAAATTAAATTTTCTTTGAAATTGGCCTGCTTGGGGGAAAAAACAACTTCTGGACTTTTGTATATTTGACTTCTTGATTAGATTTTTTACCTTCACATCGCTTATTACTTGTTTTATAAAAAATAAGATTTTATGTATATTTAAGGAAGTGTAGAAGGTTGCCATCAAAAACCACTTTATTTTTATACATCATAAATATTACTTTAATTTTGGTCTTATTATGAAACCAAGTTTTCTTTATGGTGATTGTAGGGTGATAAATGTTAGTTATAATCTTTTTATCTACCAAATAGAAAAATAGCTTCTAGAAGAAAATGCAAGTAAATTAGTTTAGCTCCAATCTCATTTTTATTACTAAGTCAGAAGAAATTTTATTTGTGTACATAAGATAAGTGAATTATTTGTTAGGAGTTCTTTTAAAAAAATTGCAATCAACATTTTTTTTTCTCTTTGCAGAAGAATGTGGAAATAAAAACAATGGAGCTCCTAATAGAGCTCCTGTTAGTTCCTTCTAAAATGTGCATGTGGAAAGGAATGAGCAGTAATTTAAAGATGTAGTCTTACTTCTCTAGGAGTTGTTAAAGCTAAGCTAGGAGACATTAGTAACAGCAAGGAAATTGTCTGTTTCATACTATATTTTAAAACTGGAGCTGTACACTTTAATTTGGGGATGTTAATAAAGAGTTACTTATGCCTAATATATTTTGAGAAATGTCGCAGCTCTAATAATGCCTTTTTTTTTCAAGATAGTATCTGGGTTTTAGTAAAAAATTTTCTAAATGCTTTCCTTTCCTAAAGAAATGACTGCTAGAAATGACATCTTCAAATAGAGAAAATTCTTTCTGCTAGCCCTTCACTAAATCTACTCGTAAAGTCACTCTATTTCAGAGTATAGTTCTACCCCATAGTCCTAAGGGAGTAAATTTTTGTGGAAGCAGTCGGCTATATATTTCTCCTTTGTTTGCAGCTGATAGATTTGAACCATTGACTTTTTGGTTCACTTTAACCACTGCCCTATCAGTGATCCTTTTTCCCTAGTAAAATAGACAGATGTTCATAGGGTTAATGTGTGTATGTGTGTGTGTGCTTGTGTAATAGTCACAAATAAACTTGAGACCTGGGGCAAAACTTATAATTTTCAGCTTATTAATTTAAAATTATAATTCATCAGACATACTGAGAAGGAACCTTGGTGGTGCAATGTTTAAGTGTTTGGCTGCTAGCTAAAGGGGACTGTAACAGAAAAGACCTGGAGGTCTGCTCTCTAGTCAAGAAACTAAATGTGGCCATTCTGTGTACAGGTTGCTTTGGATCATGATTGATGTGATGGCAGACAACAATAAGAGAATAAAATCAGTTTATGATTTTCTTCCAAAGTGAAACTTTAAAATTACCATTTTTTTGGCTAATTGTTGCTGTTTATACTGGAACTATTGTTATTTCTATGTGGTGTTGAGTTGCTTGCAACTCATAGCAACCCCATGTACAATAGCCCTGAACCCTGCTCTATCCTGTGCCAGCTTTACTGTCCCTGACATACCTACCCTCCTTACCTCAGTCACTGAATCAATCCATCTCATCAAGGGTCTTCCTCTCTTTCTGTCCCTCCACCCTCCCAAGCATGATGTCCCTCTCCAACGACTGGTCCCTCACAAGATGTCCAAATTATGTCAGATGGAGATTCAGAATCCTTGCCTCCAAGGAGCAACCTGGTTTCACCCTCTCTAGCATAAACTTGTTTATTCTTCTAGCAGCCATTGGTATATTCAACGTCCTTCTTTAGCACCACAGATAAAAGGCACCAGTTCTCTTTCTGTCACCCCTACTCATTGTCTAGCTCTCTGACCCATAGTTTGCCGTTGCAAAGACATTGGCCTAGATCAGGCACACCTTAGTCTCTAGACTGGCCTTGTTGCTCTTCAATACTCTGGAGAGATCCCTGACAGCAGATTTTCCCAGTGAAATTACTCATTTTACTTTCTGGCTGCTGGAATCAAGAGTGTTGATTGTGAAGCCAAACAAAAAGCTGTTAACAATTTCAAGCTCTTCACCATCTATCATAAAGCTGGAACCAACCATCTGAAAAAAAAATACATGGCATTTTGAAATCTTAATTATTCTATAGCCACTGATTATTTACCCAAATTTAGCTTTGTTGGAATTCAGATTGTCCATAGAAAAGGTTTGACTAAAACAACATAAAGATTGTACTTTTTGCCTGTTTCGTGATGATGTGTGTCTTTCTTAGGTTGCTCACCCCTTGATACGCAATCAGCTTGTCAATTACATTTACAATGGATTCTTGGTTCCGGTCCTGGCTCCCGCTCTCCATAAGGTCAGTGATCAGTCAGCTCCTGTCTATGGCACAGGTGATGGAAACTGAGGAAGGTGAACAAACGCAGTTACCGTGATGGTGGTTTTGACTTTCATTTTCTTCTGATTCCATCTGCACTTTTTAGCAATATCAAACAATGGCCTTAGTTAAAGTATAATGTGATTTATTATTCAGTGTTGTGAATGTCAAGCAAGACGTTCTTGGATTGGAAAATAGATTCTTACTGTTTTGGGACTCTCTGTTATTCTGCCTTCTGAAGCCAAGTCTGGCATAAAGACTACATAAAGTCCCTACTAGGTAGGCATTGCAAAGGGGTAGTAAGGAGTAGCATACATATCATGAGTTTGCCATTTCTCTAATGGAGGGCTGTGGTGTTTTTCTTTTTATTTTAAGAGCTTTATGATAGCAAAATTTAAAGTGAAGCCAAGTTAAGGTCCATTATCACCCCTCTGATTTCATTTGACATTTTCATTTTGTATAATCATTCAGCAGCTGTGTTTAATTTTAAGGGTTTTAGGAAGATCCCGATGAACATAGAATTCTAACTTTAGTAGTTTTTTTT